AAATTCTAAACTGCCCTGGACCCTGGGTCCTTCCTTCTCTGAATTGCTCCCAGAAAGGACTGGCAGAAAGGGAGAGGGGAGGGTGAGTGTGTCTCTAAGGAAGCACAGGGCATTTGGCTCCAACAGGAAGTAGGGGTTCCTGGTAGGCCCAGATCTCGAATTTACCAGCTTTACAACTTTGTTAGGTCTTGAATGAACGCCTTGGGTTTCAGCTGAATGCCTTGGGTTTCAGCTGCCTGAAACCTGTTTTCCAAGGAACAAAATACACACTTCAGAGGCTCGGATTGCTTGTTTAGTAGCCACAGGTGTCGAAGTCGTTTGCCCATTCTACTTGGAAACATGTTCCACGTGACTTAAATAATTTGCATCTACAAGCTGCATCTGTCCTAGAAAAGGCGCTGGGCCTGACACACTGAGTTCACACTTTCCCTAGTCTGGTGAGGCTCCATCTTCTGAAATGCACACCCCACACTTAAGATTGCTACTAAATTAGACAAGCCATATTATATAACACCCACACAGGGCTGGGGAGACTCGGCTCAGTGGTTAAGACCACTTGTTCCTTTCCCAGAGGGCCAGAGTTCCATTCCCAGCACCCCTGTGGTGGTTCACAACCCACCTCTGTAACTCTAGTTACAGAGGATTGGATGCTTTCTTCTGACCCCTGTAGGCACCAGACATGCGCACTGTGCACATACACATATGCAGGTAAAAACACACACACACACACACACACACACACACACACACACACACGAAATCTTAAAAAAGAGAAAAAAAGTTCTAGGGCTGGTGAGATGGCTTCAAGGGTAAAGACACGAGCTACTAAATCTGGGGAACTAAGTTCAATTTCCCAGACCCACATGGTGGAAGAACCCAACTACACACACTCATGTGGGCAAGCGCGCACTAGATAAATCTACTAATATTTTTTTTTTTTTTTTCGAGACAGGGTTTCTCTGTGTAGCTTTGCGCCTTTCCTGGAACTCACTTGGTAGCCCAGGCT